ACACTGACATCTTGTGGCCATGGTGGGAAACTGCAAGGCCGACTCCACAGCCGAGAGACCCCGTCTCCTTCCGGCCCCGACACCTGCCAGAATCTTAACCCAGTTCACCGTGGCCCCCAAAGTAGTGAGATCATCGCAGGGTGAGTCAGCCCCCGCCGCACTGCGGATCTTACCTGTCTGACCTATGACCTTGGGTGTGCCTCTTCCTTTTTCTGGATCTCTTTCTTCACCTGGACACGACCAGGCGAGGCCAAATCGCTGGGACCCGGTAGGTTCTGACGCCGATGGTTCTGTCACTGCTCGGAGTCCTGTAAAGAAAAAATGGCGTCTCATTGTCGTCTCCATCTGAACGTGTTTGTTTTGGTTTTGGGACTTGAAACACGGGCTTTCTTTCTTGTCTCTCCTTCCCTTCCTCGAAAACATGTTGTGGCTCCCTCCCGCCTCCTGCAGGAAGTACAGACGTCCACGCTCTGGCCCGCCTGGCTCGTCAGGGTCTCACCTCCCCTCTGACCCTCCGAACTCGGTGTCCCAGACATGTCCTGGTTTCCTCGAGTCAAAGATGTCGGCCTGTGCGGGTCTGCTTGAGCTTCCCCCGATAGGAGCAGGCTTTCTTCACCTGAGCATCCTCCCCCGTAGAGACCTGAAGGTGGGAACACCCTTGTCCCCCGCCAGACCCCAGGTCCTAGCCCAGTGTCTGTGGGATTCCACTGCGGAAGGCCCACCGTGCATGGGAAAGAAGGGTCACCCAACCCCGGACTCGAAACCAGGTGTGACGTCAGAAATGAACACGCTTCCTGACTCGGACACACACTGACTACACTCCAGAGGAGGGCGGACAGGCATCTTGGAAGGCCCTTCCGTGTACCGGGCACCCGATCTTGCAGAGCTAACACATCCAGTGCCTCCTGCAGCCCTCCAGGAGAAATGCTCAGAGCTAGCAAGTGGCCACCCCTGGCCGTGGGGCTTGTTGGGCAGGGGTTCAAGGCACTGCTTGGTTTGCTGCCAGTTAGGGAGACCTTCACTTGGATGTTGGTGGGGACAACTCGGCAGACGGTTACGCAGTAGCTGGGCTGTGGCTATGCCCACAAAATAACACCCACACGCAGGGTCAGCCCTGCCCAGGCCTCCACTCCGACTTCCCTGCACCCCTGTTCTCCATGTCCCGCGTGTCAGGGATGGGTACAGGCCCCACCCCTGGGGGTCCGCCCCTTCCACCTCACCTCCCCTCACAGCCACCAGGTTGGGGGTTCCTGTCTCTCTCTCCACGGCCTGTCTCTAACCCAGGCCTCCCCTCCATACATCCTGACACGGCCTTAGTGCATCACCTCCTCTCTGACTCCCCCACTAAACCCTTTTGATTCTCTGTTTATTTTTTAGACAAGGCCTTACCAGTTACAATCCTCCTGCCTCAGCATCCCCGCTCAGGCAGGTGCCTCGTCTGCAAAAGATACCCAGTCACTGGCTGATCCACTCACTCACTGAACAGGCGTTTCCTAGGGAGTGAGGACATAGCAAAGCGTAAGACCCCGTCTAACTCCAGAGTGATAAGAATTCAATTAAGAAGTAAGCATTAAAAGCCCTTTAGAATTTTGGGAGCTACTCAGTAGACCCACGGCAGAGCACCGCTACGAACATCACAGCACTGACAGGCGTAAACATGCATGTTCATTTCAGACGTTTCTTTTTTTTTTTTTTGGAGAGATTTTCACTGTAGGGTGCGTGCGCTCGCCAGACAGAGAGAGAGAGACATAGAGACAGAAAGCAAGAAATCACCCCCCAGGGGGGATGGTCACGCCACAATCCTTCTCCTCCATTCTCCTCTCGGGATCTTGGGCATGCACGCACACGCGCCCGGCGTGAGTTTTAAGCCACCGGGTCCGGGACACGAACCGCGGTCGACTACGTGGGAATCCAGTGACATAGCCATTACGCTAACTGCTGGTTCCCCAGATGTTTCTTTCTAGTTACTCGATGAAAAGGATGTGCTTTTTGCTGGCCCCAGCCAGGAGACAGCCACGCACAGGTGATACTCACTACAGCTGTGCAGACTCGAAACCACGAACGGCGTGGGCTCCACAGTGCAGGGTAACGCAGGGCTCAGGACGCGCTGGTTCCCATGTGGTAACCAGAGTTCAAGTCCTCAGTCCTGGTTGGCCTGAAACGCACCAGGCATGCACGCGAAAGCCCAGGGTCCCATGGATGGAAGATGGAGGGCGGGAGGAGGGCTAACACAGCACGGTCAGACCTCGCGGAAAGCACCCACACACACGCACACACACACTCACGTGTGTATGCATGTGCTCTATCATGAGTAAAGGAGAGAAAAAAAACCACCAAAGGCTCTTTGAAGGAAAGACTGAGTCATGATGTCTGCAGGCTTTCTGCAGACAGCCCGTGACGGGCTGACTGCACCAGCACGGGTTCCGACGCTGCCTGAGAGTCCAGACAGCTGAAGGATGTCTCCCATGTGGGGAGGTATAGCCCGAACCGACCAGCTCCAGTCTTGGAAACACACGGCAAACCGGACTCTGCTCTCGGCTAAGCCAGAGCTCCCAGCCGCACTGCACACCGAAGGGAATCAGTGAGAACAAAATCCTAACGGCTGGGCTGCAGGCCAGACCCACCAGACGACAACCTCTCACGGCAGACCCGAGCGTCTATGGTTTTTTTAACGTCTCACACAGAAATTGATTTAATGGGCCAGAGTTCAGCTTTTTCAGTGTTTTTCAGGTGATTCTAACGTGCAGCCAGGCTGACACCTCTGTGGAGAGCCTGCTCTGACCGACCCGGGGAACGGGGGCCCACTACGGCCAAGAGAGCACTGAGCATGCCCAGGCTCCGGCTGCACCCAGACCCCTCATTCGTACCTCTGGGTCGAGTGCAGGCATCGGCTTTGGGTAAAGTCTCCAGGGGGAACTGAACACACGGCCAAAGGGGGAACCACCACCCTAAGCCACAGTCCCAAGTGGCAGTGCCTGCCTCCCTCGACAGGGTCACCTGGACGGGCTGCAGCCGCATCTACACGGTCCCCCCGTCCATGCCGTTGTCTCCTGTGGTTTCAGTTACCCATGGTCCACTGTGGTCTGAAAATATTCAAATGGGAAACTGCAGAAATAAACAATTCATTAGTTTATTTTTTTTTAAAGAAGCTTTAGTTTTAGTTTTGCTGTAGGACACGTGAGCTGACCAGAGAGAGACAAGACAACAGAGAGAAAGTGAAAAAAGCACCCCCTAGAGGGGAGGGCCACACCACAATCCCTTCTCCTCGTTCTCTGCTCAGAACTTTGGGCAAGCATGCATACAGGCCGGCACGACTTTCAAGCTGCCAGGTCTGGGACTTGAACCACGAGCTCAGCCACGTGGCATACGGCCACCTTAACCTCCATGTCGCCTACTGGCCCAATTCATAAGCTTTTAATAATTTTAGTACACTATAGTGTTATTATTCTTTGGTTTTGATTATGTTTTTTTTTAGATTTTTTGCTACAGGACCCATGTGCTCACTGGAGAGACAAAGAGAGGGAAAGTGAGAAATCAACCCCCCCAGGGGGATGGCCGTGCCACGGTTCCCTTCTCCTCGATGCTCCTCGTGGCATTTTGGGCACACGTGGCTAGCATGATTTTTAAGCCACGAGGTCCAGGACTCAAACCGTGAACACAGTCACGTGGCAGGCACACAGCCACTTTAACCTCCACGCCACCTACTGGACCCCTAGTTTTCTTTTCTAAAGCATATCATTTATTTATTTACTTACTTATTGGGCCAAGGATGTGCACTGGCTGGAAAGAGACAGAGACAGAGAGAAAGCAAGAAAGCATCGGCCCCTCCTCCTCCACTCTCCTCTCAGGACCTTAGGCACGCACACACAGAAGCGCTCAGCATGTGTTTTCAAGCCACTGGATCCAGGACTCAAACTGCACAGTTGTCTGCATGGGTTCTAGCCACCTTAAACACTACACTATCAACTGGCCCTGCTTCATTACCGTATTTCATCTCCCACTGCGCCTAATTTACGAATTAAACTGGATCCTAGGTGTGTATGTACAGGAAAAAGCATAGCCTATGTAAGGCTGGGTGTTCTCCACGATTTCAGGCACCCACTGGGGGTGTTAGAATATATCCCTGGGAAAAGGGGAACGACTGAATTGAAACCACATCTACGTTCTTGGGGCCAGCAGGTGGCATGGAGGATAAGGAGCTGGACTCCCACATGGCTGACTCAGCAGCTTAAAAAATCATGCCTGATACATGTACATGCATGTCCAAGATCCCAAGAGGAGAGTAGGGGAGAAGGGACTGCATGTGCTGATCCCCCCCCGGGGTAGGGAGGGGTTGATCTC